ATTACTCCCTGATCCATGAACAGGGTACATGATAATATGAAAAACTGATAGACAGATCTAGGATTCCGACATCCAGCATCAAAAGGATGTCTGCTTAATGTAAATCATCTTCCTCAAATTTGAAATTGACAGGAACCACCCCAAGCACAGTAACATCCTCAGAATAATTAGCATCGAGGGATAGTGAGAGGGGGAAGAACCTTAATAATCTTCAAGTATCTCCACTATGATCCACAACACTGATGAAGTAGCAAAAATATAAACAAAGGAGGTAATTTAGACATCTGTAATACATGTGTGAGGACTTATGTTGATTGGTTCAACTCTAAATCCAAAACCCAGCCACTGTGAACCAACATCTTTGTGGCGGTAGGATGAGGGTTCCCAATAGTAGGGTGAACTGCAATTTTGACGGCTCACTCCATTTGTTTATGTTTCATAGTGGAGAATATAACACCACCTACACCAGCAGAACACCACCACCCTATTCTCAACTGAATGGTTTTATAATAATTTCTATATTTTGTTAGTATTTCATTAACCCATTCAGAAGGATGCCTCCATGGTCCACCACCCAAGCAGCTTGGAACTGGAAAGTGAAAAGAACTCTCAAACTCCACTAGAAGAAAATGGGAGGGAAGCACAGTGAATAGTCTGGAAAAACGACAACTCCCAAGACAGTGCAATGGGTGACTACAAAATCCTATTTTGAAAAGCAGACCATAGAGATTTATTCAAAATGGGGCATGGCAGGGATGGACAGCTGTCCCCTTCTGCTTTACACATGTAATCCATGGTTGAATATGGTCCAGGAAGGGCAAACTTACAATGTAAATCTATTGCGAGGATAAACCTACAAGTGATCTTGTGGAATACACCATCTCTGCAGTGTGCTTTGCATGGCCATGGAATGATAATATGCAAGCCAACATGGCTTATAGTGCAGATTTGAACAGTTAAAGAATACTTAGCCAGGCACCACTAACCACAAAATAGGATCCATAAAAATAAAAATAAAAAGAGGGACATGCCCCTGAAAAAGAAGAGGTATATATACTAAAAGGTAACTTACCCAGTCACAGTTTCATGAAAGAGTGAAGGATGGAAACAGGTGGATGACAGTATCCCAACAAGGAAGAAACAGCTACTCAATACAGAGAATGGGAGATGAACGTAAGAGATGTAGACCCAGTGCTCAACATACGAAGTATCTCCAACGGACAGCAGGGTAGACATGCAGGAAAAAAGATGCATGATCGGAGTGAAGACACCAGGAAGTGATGATAGGAAGAGGGAGACAAGGAATGCAGGAAAAAAGGAGCATGATTGCAGTGAAGACACTAGGAAGTGATGATAGGAAGAGGGAGACAAGGAATTAAGGGCTAATCGAATCACAATCAAAACGCAATGGATAAAGGAGTAAGGTAAAAAAATCACAGACAAAAAAGTGTATTAAGGGGAGGAAAAACTAAGTCAACTGATTATGGGTTAACCCTTTATTAGAGGAAGGTGAGCAATATTGGGAGCGGGTAGGGTGGACCCTGGCTCCCAAGGGCACACACAAACGAAATTAATGGTAAGAAGTATAAACTATAAAGAAAGACGAAAATGAAATAGTCGATAGAGTGGAAATGTTAATAAATTGTGTAGTGAAATAAACATGTTACATGTTGAAGAAAAAAATATTTAACCTAATTATTGAGTAGCCCGGAAATATAACCAGGGGTAAACCAAAAACAACAGACACTAATTAAGCAATACAGAACAAAGGATATCACTAAGCACTAAAATAAAAACATAAGCAAACAATAAGTAGGTAAAATATTGGGGGAAGTTTGTATGGACCCCGGCTCAAGGGTTCTACACAAACCAAGTGAATAGTGAGAAGGATAAGAGAGAAATAATAACGAAAATGAAATAGACATGATTGTATAAATTTAAGGAAGTGTGTAGTAACCATAACATATGTATGAGACATTATGTATGGAAGAAAGAACAATATAGATAAACTAATGATTTATATACCAGTAAGATGAATTAT